CACGTTCATCACTGACAGTCAAACACTTCACGTTCATCACTGACAGTCAAACACTTCACGTTCATCACTGACAGTCAAACACCTCACGTTCATCACTGACAGTCAAACACCTCACGTTAATCAGTGACAGTCAAACACCTCACGTTAATCAGTGACAGTCAAACACCTCACGTTCATCACTGACAGTCAAACACCTCACGTTAATCAGTGACAGTCAAACACTTCACGTTAATCAGTGACAGTCAAACACTTCACGTTAATTCAGAGTGACAGATACACGCCACGCATTAAATCAATTACAGCAACACACTAAAGCAACAACTTCACACTTTACTCTATCAGTGCTACACATTGTAACATCTCGCTTCTCTTTGTGAGTTTAATCCTAGAGTGCATTCGTCAGAGACCACTTCAGCCGGGAGAGCCCCTTGATGCTGAGCTGAACGCACCGACACATACAATGAAGGACATTAATGCAGAAGGTGGGAGGAAGAGGAGGGGGAGCGGGAGGGCGCGGTAAACACCCATACAGTAGTGGGAGAGTTCAGACGTCAACCTGGCCACTGACTGACTGACTCCAGCGTTCCACTCATACACTTTTTAATCTCTCTCATCAAAAAACCATAAGATTTTTTTTTTATATTGGTTAACTCACCAGCCAGTGTAGTAATACCTCACTGTACATTAATGGTATCTGTTAATCAGGAACATTGGAGAGTAGATCATACGGACTAAGGCAAAGTTCTATCATATTGGTAACTAATTAATCTGGATGACAACTAATTTGACCAGTGATATATTATGTTATCATTAAATAGACATGCGTGATGTAGCCATGTGGAGACGTGTCGTGGGTGGGGAACTACGATACAACCCTCCACACCGTCTACCTCTCTCCCTCTTTTTACCTCTCCTGTCCTCCAGCAACCACACCTCACCACGACACACACACACACACACACACACAAGGAGACAACCTTACGCTTTGCCCTCGTCTATATTCCGCTCCACTAAACTATGTCGATGATGATGTTTATTCTGTTACGTGAGATGATGATGATGATGCTTCGAATGGGCCAGGCAGAGGTGCGGGCCCCGACTTGTTATTTTGTTACCTTTGTGTTCATGATTCCTTCTTACTGTCCACTTAAATAACGTGTCATGCAGTGGGTGTGTGGTGGGGAGGGAGGGGGGTAAGAGAAGGGGCACCACTACAGACCGCTCCTCCCAACGCAAAAACTCTAATTCATGTCACATGGAGCCATCAAGTACCGAGAGGTCCTCCTACTCGAGGCAAGGACGGGTGACCGCACGCACCACGACTCAACACTCACCTCCGAGACACGCTACAACGCGAACTGACCCAAACATCCCACCCCGTCTTCCTTATATACATGCTCACTCCACCAGGTATCAAATGGCAGAATTTAACACGGGCCTCCTGCTTACGCCGCTGCCACTTACCGTGATGGGGCGCCCCCTCTTGAGCTGCCTCACCACGGGATAGGCCAGGATAGGTGGCACCAAGGACCAGGATAGACCAACGCCAACGCAACACAAGCTAAGCCACACACACACCAGGATTTAATCCCTCAAGAGCACAACGGTGAACCTCTGTCACTAGGCTCGAGTTGACGCGACCCCACACACACACACACACACACACACACACACGTCGTTTATCCCTTGTCATTATAACATAGAGACTCAACTACGTATGTCATGTACCTAGAAAAACAACAGGAAAAAATACAACACAAGGAAATAATCGCATCACAACATAAATATAACAACACGAGACAACTACAACATAACTCAAACACCACAACACAACACAAAACAACAATTACAACACAAACACCATGACACAACATCTACAACGCAACACAACCATAACATAACACAAAAACGACAACACAACACAACAACCGCAACACAACAATCACAACACAACACAAGAATCACAACACAACATAAAAACCACTAAACAACAAACACAATACAACAAAACAAACACAACAACCACAAGACAAAACAAAAACTACAACACAAAACAACACAAAATAACAACCACAACTTGAGGGAAAATCACAACAGAAGAAAAAATCACCACACAGGGACGCAACCACCCCAACAACATGACGCAACAACTACAACACAATAACTTCAACAAAGCAAAATAACAACACTAAAACACAACAACCACAATGCAATGCAACCACAATGCAATGCAACCACAACATGGGACAAAAACAACAACCACCACCACAACATGAGACAAGAACAACAACCACAACAGAACAATAACAACAACCACAACACAAGACAACAACAACAACAACACAAGACAACAACAACCACCACCACAACATGGGACAAAAACAACAACCACAACACAACAACAACAACAACAACCACAACACAAGACAACAACAACAACAACAACCACAACACAAGACAACAACAACAACAACAACAACAACAATAACCACAACACAAGACAACAACAACAACAATAACCACAACACAAGACAACAACAACAACAATAACCACAACACAAGACAACAACAACAACAATAACCACAACACAAGACAACAACAACAACAACACAAGACAACAACAACAACAACAACAACAACAGAACAACAACCACAACACGAAACAACAACAAAAACAACAACAACCACCATCACAAAAACTCGAGACAACAACAGCCACAACAACAACAACACGAAACCACAACAAACACAATACCATGACCATAAGACATAAACAACAACAACCACAACCCGAGACAAGAACAACCACAACCTTAGACAGCAACAACAACATGAGACAACAACCACAACAGGAGACAACAACCACAATAGGAGACAACAACCACAACAGGAGACAACAACCACAACAGGAGACAACAACCACAACAGGAGACAACAACCACAACAGGAGACAACAACCACAACAGGAGACAACAACAACAGGAGACAGCAACAACAACAGGAGACAACAATAGACAGGAGACACAACCACAACAGGAGACAACAACCACAAGGAGACAACAACCACAACAGGAGACAACAACCACAACAGAGACAGAACAACCACAACAGGAGACAACAACCACAACAGGAGACAACAACCACAACAGAGAGACAACAACCACAACAGGAGACAAGAACAACCACAACAGGAGACAACAACCACAACAACAACCACAACAGGAGACAACAACCACAACAGGAGACAACAACCACAACAGGAGACAGGAGACAACACCACAACAGACAACAACAACAGGAGACAACAACAACCACAACAGGAGACAACAACCACAACAGGAGACAGCAACAACAACACGAAACAACAACAACAGGAGACAGCAACAACAACAACACCAACACGAAACAACAACAGCAACCATAACAACATGAGATAACAACAACAACACGGGACAACAACAACAACCATAACAACAGGAGACAATAACAACCACAACACGGGACAACAACAACAGGAGACAGCAACAACAACAACACCAACACGAAACAACAACAACAACCATAACAACATGAGATAACAACAACAACACGGGACAACAACAACAACCATAACAACAGGAGACAATAACAACCACAACACGGGACAACAACAACTACAACACCATAACACAACTTGTTTTCGACACATTTCATAAATATTAAAACACTAATTTAAAACGAATTTAATCCACAAAAAAATAAATAAAAATAATAATGAGATAATTATATATAAAAATATTCCAATTACATAAAAAAAAATTCAACGCAACAAGATTCAATTTATGATTTGCAGACTTCAATAATAATGTACTAATTAATATAGCTCACCTGGACTCCCCATCACCTCACCTGTGTATACATGCGCCTCACACACCAGGTATTTCCACTTTCAATATTGTAAACGTCATCAGCTCTAAAGACACACATGCGCAGTAGTAAACAAAATGGGTGAATAATAATCGTCATATATAGTAAACATACATGTACTAGAACTACCGCTGGGAAATATGTGTTTGTCCTTAGAGATCATCACTACTGAGGTGGGAGTGACACACACACACACACACACACACACACACACACTTGAGATGGTGTTAACTGGCGGATGGAGAATTGAAAGTAAGATTTGGACGTCTGTGAGAGGTTTAGGTAAGACGTGGTGATTGATTGATTGATTGATTGATTGACTGACTAACTGGTTGATTGATTGATTGATTGATTGATTGGGGTAAATACATCCCTGTGAAATAAGTAGTTGACGCCTACAATCACGCGTTGGGTCACATCTCCCTGAAATACGATACAATTCCTTGACAACAATAAAACTTAAGAGATTTCCTATGAATTAAATAATGCACCACCATATATTAACATAGCCACTTAAACATTACTATAATACTGAAGGAGGAGTCTGATATTAAACGTTAATATCACACTAAATATCTAAGAAATTAACTTAACGCATTTACCTTTAACAATGATAAAGTTAATGGGGTTAATAATGTTAAATATCTACTACACTTAAGTAAAGGAATAATAACATTTGGAAATTTTAATCAGAAATGTAATGATATCTAGCAACGTGTGCCTCCCCCTGAGCGAGTGAACAGCGTAAGAAACTTTTGATTTTCATTATCCAAAACAAAAGATGGATCACGCCTGTAGGCTGGGGGTCCGGGAGTGTGCTCTTAATAGGTCTGGGTGTTATGCTCACTCGTGCTTCACTCTGACCTGGACGTGACGGGCCTGCTTAACCACTACCCAAATGTGACACAGCAATTAATTGGTATGGGTACAGCATGTTGTTTTGAGGAACCTTTGTTACTTGTGAGTGTTGTGTGTGGGGCTGGGTCTGTCATTGGTATTCTTTGGGTTAGACGTCATTAGTCTCACCTCATAAACAAACACTAACTAATGAGTCCGTTCCGACACTTGTATCGAAAACTAATCATCAACTCACCTGTGGAATTTCTTTTAGTTTCAATGACCCTTGCCGTCAATGTCAGTGAAGGTGGAGTCCTAGGGAGGCGGTGAGTGTTAAGGGCAGTTCGGACTACAACATACTGCATACTAAGCCTCGGTTCACACTCTACTGCCTTCACTTCCCCAGCTGGGTCGACTAGAGGTGCCTAGAACGTAAACCAGCGACCATTAGGTGAAAGTTATGTCCACTTGACCACCGCTCCACCTGCAACAGACATCCCCGTAAGCACTCATAGGTACAAGGTCATAATTCAGTGCATGGAGGAAGGTAAATGTGAGGTATGACACAAAGATCATGTTATCAGAAACACCATAAGACTGATGTTTCCAAAACTTGCAGATGAATGTGAAAAACAATTAATTTCCAGTAAAGCACAAAAATATTATCAATTACTTCAATTCCTTATTCTTATATCGTAATTGTTTCCCTTCATAATATAGTTATTAACACACACACACACACACACACACACCTGGGTCAACTTCTTTACAAAATATTTTAAGTGCTTAATAGTTTTACTCAGATAAGGTTATAACACTTATCATATGATGGCACTAATATACAGTACAGGGCTACCAAGTGTCAGCAACATCACCACGTTACCTCTATGAACAGAATAAATATTGAGAACTGTAGCCAATGTGAAGTGTTCAAAAGAAAAAACAAACTGTATGGAGAGAGAAATAGCAATGTTTCGTGTTCATATATATCTGTGTGTCTGTCTTTAAACTATAACTAAACATCATCTCCTGAGTCACTTTCTGGTATATACTTCAAACTGACTGGTCATTATATAGGGGACGATACTGAACTTCAATCATCTTGGTTAGAATATTCAGTGTATATCTTTTGCTTATCTCTGTGGAAGTAAACTCGATGCTGTTCCCTCAACTTTGCCCTACCGTCGTCAAACCTGGCCTGTGGGGTGACTCCTCTTCTCCCCGGATGTTTGTAAGTGATATCGTTAGTAATTAAAGGACTGTAAACGGTATATCGCACACCTGCCAGATCTCCCAATGTAGAGAAAGGGGGTGAGGGGGAGGGAGAGGAGGGGGGAGAGAGGGGGGGGGGAGAAGGACCCCCTAAAACGTTAAGATTATTTCAATTGACAACATAATAGCAGTGATGAATTCTAATGTTACTTGATAATAAAAAAAGGGGCTATTGATATGGATACACCACTCGCCACCTGCACTAAACGTCACTGGTTCGGGACTTAGGGCACCCACAGTCAACCCACCTGTGAACGGATACATCACACTATACTCAGGGAAGTGAATGAGGTCGAGTACAGTGACAGCCAAAATGCTTCCTTTAGTGTAGTGAGGATCAGGTGTACTGTATCCCCTCTCCCCTTTATGGATAGTCAAGGCTTATGGGGCTCACTTTAACATCTCAATTTATCCCTCTAACTCAACTCTTTAGGAGGAGGGGCTGATTATTTACCATTTGGATTTGGAGATGCTTGAAATTTTAGCCTTCAAAATCAAAACAAAAATTGTATGGAGAAAATAATTAACTCAAAACATCTTATAAAGTGACAGCTGAATGAACTCCTATAATCTACCTCTGGTCTTCTATCATTCTTATCATTATATCATCAAAATATATAACCTCACTGAATCTATCTATAAAATTATATCAGAAATCATATACATAATCCAAAGTTTATCTCAAGTCAATTTTCAAGGAAGAGTCAATCGCGGCATAGTCAACCTGGCTGGTGGAGATGTTATATATCTGCACAAGTAGATTGGAAGCCCATGACAGGCCATTTAGCTCTGGGTCTCTTCAACTTCTTCCCTAAGGAGTAAGTGACAACCGATTCTCTCAGTCATGATCGGTGGAGTTGAAGACTGTCATTGGGAATATTGCAAATGTCAGTATCTTAAGAGTTAAAATATAAATGGGAAAACAAATATTAAATCAACAATATTTCAGATACTTCAACCATCACAACGACAACAAGAACAATAATAATAACATAATAACTCGGTAACAATAACGACAACGAAACAATAACTCCACAACAACAACAACATAAATACAACACTTATACAACAACAACACAATAGTTCACCATCATCATAAATCATCATTATCACCACCACTAACAACAACAATAACTCATCACCACCATCAAGGGATTTACTACACAAGAGCACACCCGAATTACACATAAGTAAGGAGCTGAAAAACAAAGACTCTTTCTCACCCCCACACACACACACTCCTCTGTCATTAATACCCTTAGTGTTTGACCTGTTCTTCCTCTTAGCAATCTTCTCTTATTTTAATTTCTTCTTTTTACCATTTTTCCTCTTCTTAGTTCTCCTCATTTCACAATAAATTATCACATTCTTCTATATTTTATCTCAATACATTACTAATCTCTCTAACTCTTCCCTAGACTCGGTTAGGTTTGGTTAGGTTAGGTTCACTCTGGTTCACTCCTCAGACACCCATTCTTGTCATCAATTAATGTCTTAATCCATTTAGAGAAGAATTTGATATCCTAAAGGTAACTACAGGTACAGTTGAGTCACCATTGTTCTACGTCTGGAAATATTCGACAAAACCACCTCACTTAATAACGTGGTTTGTTTTACGGGAAGACCTCACACTTCAGCGGCCAGTGCAGTTCTTCACGTAATATATTATCTTCGGTGTCTGCAAGTATCTCAGTGTCTCTTGGTGATATTTATTCAGTGCACTCTAACATACCAACACAAGTGACAGGAGGAGTTACATCCACTCTGTCGTTGGGTTGAAGGTAAGGCCGTACAGTCTTGTAATTCCACCACACACTCTCAGCGTCTAATAGTAACTTTAACAATGTCTGGAGCAGTTATTTATCGTGGTGCACATGTTACTAGTCTCATCCAATTCACAAGATAACTAACATAGCCAAGTTTATTAACCAAAGCAGTTTAATATTATGATTTGGACCAGTTGTATAAGGTCAGATTTAAGGGTATTTTAAACATTCATCTGACGTCACCTACTTGTGGCCCTTTATGAAACACTGCACCTGCGCGGGTCTGCTTCTCTACCGTCTTCACGCGACTCAAGTTATACCTCAAGCACCCTAGTTATGACGAACCCATGATTCAGCAACTATTCACTCTTTCACGGGTATAATATTGATGCTAAAACTTGACTACAGTACAAATCATATAGAAATCCTTATGGAAATTCAAAGTTTATTTACATTTCAAAGAGCAGGTTTATACTCACGATCAGCGACACAGCTTCGAAACAGAGCGGTGAAAGACGTACAGTACGGGCCTTAGTACCGCCCAAGGAAAGAGAATCCTTCACGTGAATGAATACCTAATGTAGCGAGAGACTCAATGTTGTTTAGCAGCAACATCTCCAGTTCCATTCGTACTCACAGAAGGATTTTTTTTAAGGTGGATCCCAGCTGTTTGGTCACTTCAGGACAAGCTGTTATTGAGGCATGATTTCTTAGGTTAGGTTAGGTTAGGGTAGGTTAGGTTAGGGTAGGTTAGGGTAGGTTAGGGTAGGTTAGGTTTCGTTAGGTTAGGTTGAAACTACGATCCCGTAATTAGCATGTCCCCTTTTAACCTTGTCCCGAAATAACTTGTGACCCTGAGCGACACTCCCCACCCTGCTCACTGCTCTTAGGTCGTTAGGGTGTTTAATCACCAGGTGAAATTAGCTGGGGGAGTAATCTTCAGGTGATCCAATTATTATACATACATTAGAGTAAAATTACCTCTATTTAATTTAGATTTAGAACACCAATTTCAATGTCTTCTATTAAGTACAACAAATACTTGTCAATAGTCAACCACATCAATCACCTGTTAACAGTCAACAGTCAATCACATCAATCTCCTATCAACAGTCAATCAAATCAATCTCCTGTCAACAGTCAACCACATCAATCACCTGTTAACAGTCAACCACATCAATCACCTGTTAACAGTCAACCACATCAATCACCTGTTAACAGTCAACCACATCAATCACCTGTTAACAGTCAACTACATCAATCACCTGTCAACAGTCAACCACATCAATCACCTGTTAACAGTCAACCACATCAATCACCTGTTAACAGTCAACTACATCAATCACCTGTCAACAGTCAACCCACCAGTCTCTTGTCCTCTTAACAGACAAAACACAAGTTCTCTCTCAACAGTCAACCCGTCAGTCTCCTACCAATGGTCAACTTACCAGTCCTTTCTCAACAGTCATACTAGCAATAACTTGTTAACAGTCAACCACATCAATCACCAGTCAACAGTTAACCATATCAACCACCTATCAACAGTCAACCACATCAATCACCAGTCAACAGTCAACAACATCAATCACCTATCAACAGTTAACCACATCAATCTCCAGTCAACAGTCAAATCAACAGTTCCCATACAGTCACAATCAACCCATCAATGTTCAAATCAACATTCATCCAGTCAACAATTTCCAGTCAAAAAACGTGAACAGATAAAAAAACAGTTATCACTAGCCAGGAGGAAGCTAGACAGTCAACAGTCAAACAGTCAGAAGGGGAGTAAGTAGCTCTGTGGCTTTTCCAGGAAGAAACGGAGGTCTGGCAGCTCTCACGTATAAATCATGGCGGCGCTGCAATTAGGCTATTAAACCTTGCCCGAGTATTACCCGGTGGCCCCTTGTACCGGGAGACTACCATCACTCCTCCTGTAACGGGAGACTACCATCACTCCTCCTGTACCGGGAGACTACCATCACTCCTCCTGTACCGGGACGCTGCCACCTCCTTTACTGTACCGGGACACTGCCACCCCTCTTACTGTACCGGGACACTGCCACCCCTTTACTGTACCGGGACGCTGCCACCCCTCTTAGGTGTATTTACCCTGGACCACTTACCCTGGCCCCTTGTACCGGAGACTACATACTCCTCCTGTAACGGGAGACTACCACACTCCTCCTGTACCGGGAGACTACCCCACTCCTCCTGTACCGGGACGCTGCCCCTCCTTTACTGTACCGGGACACTGCCACCCCTCTTACTGTACCGGGACCTGCCCCCCTTACTGTACCGGGACGCTGCCTCCCTCTTCTGTACCGCGATCCCCCTCTCTTACTGTACCGGGAGGCTGACATCCTCCTTACTGTACCGGGAAGGCT